TGAAGACATCACGGAAAGGGAGAGAAGTGAAGTGCAAATAGTAGCGGAGTGTTACGCGAGAACCACGGTGAATATAGCGACAGCTCTCGGATTCTTCTCGAGAATGTGTAGTTTGCAGTCATTGGAAAGACTAGAGTCTGAACACCATTGGGTGACGGCGTTGAGCGTAGAATCATGGCCTGGGGTGTTGCAGGTGACTCAAAAACACATCCGGAGCTGGAAAGTTGGTCTTGAGGCAGAAATGGGGTTTCCCATGAGCGAAGCTTATGGCCTGCCATTGAACGCAAAATCCCTGATAGGGTCAATGATGGCCAACTTGTGCGGAAGTCACTACCCACTGCACATGGCGATGGTGGAAGCATCCAGCCAGAGAGTACTGGTGGACAAGGCCTTCTCAGTGCCCAAGTGCGTGAGGTTGGCTAGGATATCGCATCACTCGCACAAGTTGTTGAGAAAAATCAGAGGGACAGTACCAAAAGAATTGAGAGATGACTTGAGTGAAATCTGGGGAGAAGAACTTTTGAAGTTGGAGAGAGAGAACACAAGCGATCACGAGAGACAAAACGTGATCGGAAAACCTGTGGGAAGTGCTCCAAACCTGGAAGATAACGACACGATGCATGAGAAAATGATGGAGCTTGAGCCTCTCTTGGAAACCTCGGGGGAGCGTAACCTCAGGAGCATTGAGATCACCCATGGAGAATGCCCATGCCACTGTTTGGCGCAAACGGTGTGGTATCCAGATCACAAGAACCTTTGCCTGGTATGGGATACGGAAGAAATCCGGTCGATCGGACTACCGGATCACCGACAGAAGGTGACGATCTTGGTAGTGAGTACGATGTTGGCTCTGAGATGGATAGAAGAGAATATAACGAAGTATCGGGAAGCGGGGACGCCAACGGCTGAGTCAATATACGCGATAGACTACAGTAGGAGACTCGAGTTGTTTGAGACTGCGTGCAAGGTATTCGCCATACCAACGGAAGTCAGACATGTCTGGAGCCGTTTGAGGTACTTCCCATGGTTTCGGTCGACGCTGACGTCCTGGTTGTACATGACAACGAAAGATCACATGAGAAAACATCAAAAGGAGTATCGACAGTTCCAGGCCGAGATTGGGCCGGAAGCTTTCAAGAGACCCCTGTTAACCCATCGTAATGCAATCACGACAGGATGGAAGAGAGTGGGTAAAATGTCTAGAGACAATACCAAGGCGAGGGAATCGATACTAGAGGAGGACCTGGCAAAGAACGTGAGCTTGAGCCTGCACAACTCCTTTTGTTTGAACCGGGAATCTAGGGTGAAGGCACTACCCAACCAAGCAAAGAGGTTGCAAGAGCAAAGAGAATGGATTTGATCCTACGAGCAGCTGAAGGCTTGGGAGGAGATTGTGATTAGCTCCGATGATGAAGAGGAACTGTTGAGACAGTTTGCCGTATCTAGTACTTCAGGGTGCAGTACCTCCAAGGCGAAGAGTGCGAGATGAGCAGGTGGCTCGAATGGATCTTGAGTCTTGAGAGGGAAAGGGGGCTTGAGCGTGGATCCGGGTGAAACCTGGGTTCACGAAAAAGAAATTTTAACAAAACAAGATATTGTTATTAATATGCTATATCTATTATATAAACGAAAATGCTGCATGACAATTTCCTAATTGAATGGGACAAAAGAAATTTTAAATTGGCTTGAAAAGCGAGAATTCAAGGGTGCAGGTGTGTGCAGATTTTGATTGCTGTTTAGCGATAGTGTGAAAATTTTACATGGCTGTGAATTTTGGGGTGTAGATAAGCTTAAGTCTGCTGCAAACTTCTGTAAATGACCACTGGCACTGTATCTTGAGTAACACTCGGTTTTCTGGGACTCACTGACAGAAGACAGCACGCGATGAGGACATCGATCTCGAGTCCGGGGAGTATGTGCCAGTCGGTCATATTTGGAAGTTTGACCTTGAGAGAAGCAAAAAGCACTTAATTTTGGAGTGAAATTTAATTTTTCAAAATTTCGAATGGAACCTGTCATGCACGTTTTTTTCGCGATAACTGAAAATCAGAAAAGAGAAGTCAGAACGATCGAGTGACAATCGCGGGAAAGTTGCTAGAAAAATCAGTGGGAAATTGCTATTCGCAATTTCAGTAGCAATAATAATCGAGAGTAGAGCTGTCCCATCTAAAACAGAGACGAGCGCATTCCCACGAACTGGATTGTTGTGATTGGAGTATTATTCTAAACTGGACTAGAGTGAACCTTCGGTGGAAAGGTGGACAGCTAGAGTGTCCCAATGGTTCACGAGAACTTACAGTCTAGAGTAAAAACTTGTTCTTGTTATTAAAACTGACTAACATTAAACTCATTTTAATTACTTTATTGATTCTTGAGTTGCTCACCGACTTATTTACTTCCTGGTGCTTGAGCGTGCTACAATGTGAGTACTAATTTAAATTTCTAGAGTGTGTTTTATAATTGTTATGTTGAGGTAAGGCGAGTTTTAGGTTGATCCATCTGAAATGGATCAAAGTTCCACTGTCTAATAAAAAGTAACTTAGCGGATTGTTCCGACCCGGTTTTTAACGGCGTTCATGTATTTTGGGTATCTAGAGACCTAAGTATGGGGACGTTTCTAATTCTAGAGTGGGGGGATATTTTAGTAGTAGCCTTTAAGCTGTAACGGGTCGTAGTCTCATGTCACAAGCGAACCGAATTGGCTCCGACTGATTTGAGGTGAAAAACACAAGAGATAGTGTCCCTGACTCTTGAGCCAATGGTTATAGGGCCTATTTTTCTTAAGCCTCATGTGTGACTGCAGTAGACGAATGTTACATATGATGAATGTAGCTATTTTAAAGTCTTCTTGTAATTGTTTTGCACAGTTTGATAATTGAGCTTCCTCGATTTAAGACTGACGAATAAAGTTTGTGTTTGTTCGAAGTTCTCGGCGTTCATGGTGTTTAGTAATTCGTCGTTTAAGGAAGTAGTTAGGGCGTCCAAATTTATTTCTCAAACGGCGGTTACATTATTATCACTTCTATTTTTCTTTAGTAGAGAAAAATACCCTATCCATTGGAGATGGATCGACCCTTTCCTGCTCCTCAAATTCTGCAAATGAAATCTGATGTTGGTTAAATCAAATTTGGGACCTTATCCAGAGGGTGGCGTGTCACGGAGCGGAATACCCGGATAGCCGAAAAATAAATTCGTTCCCGGATAGCCGAAAAATAAATTTGTTCCCGGATAGCCGAAATTTTGGATCTACTTAACAATTCTCCACCCTCCTACCCCCTTACCAATTCCTTAATAGGGAATAGGGGAGATTCGTTGCTAGGTACCATAGGGGATTACGTAGCAGTGTTTAGACAACCGCGTATTCAGAAAATACAATCACCACAACTCCTGTTCATGGCAGTACGCATGTGAATGTCACTCATGCAGAAACAACTGGAGACATTGGGCTTCATAGGAAGAGTTTCCTCCAGCGACGTTGGAAATTCATAACAACAACAACTACAATATTCACACTTTTAACCAATCAGAGTCGAGACAAAGCAAGGGCGGATCTATGGTTTTCTCGAGAGGGGGAGGAGCGACAAATGTTTTTTAAAAAAAAAACATTCCAAAAATGCAGTTTTTGGGATTTTTTGGAAAATTTTTGATAAAAAAAAATCGTTTTTCAGCGCGTCTACCCTTCAAAATTAGTATGTATTGAAAAATTTTAGGGTTTGTCGGCCGAAAATGGATATCATAAAAAATACCAAAGAGCGACCCTTCGGTTGGCGAGGGGGTCGGGGTCGAATCCCTGTAGTAGTCGTGCTTCTGTTGTTAATTAATTCAATGATAGTAAAAGTATTAGCCAATCAAATCTCTTAAAAATGTTCGGAATTTTGTTAGCTAACAGGCTGCAAAATTTGGAGGCACTTTTTGTCCAATCAAAATGCGTCTCAATTTAGTGAAGAGTTTTCTGATTTAATTTAATTAAAACCGGAGGTATTTAGTTTTTGGGCTACCCGGGAATGCGGCTCCGTGGGTACGCACCATCCAGAGAGCTAAGTGTTGTTATAAAGTACAGTAATTTCGTTCAACGAAAGACCGTTCCGCAGAATTGTGCAGTCATCGTTGAAGAAGTCTTCTTCATTATACGGAAGAGTTTCTTATCGAAACCCCAGCCTTCCCGATTGGTAAAATAACGTCAGTAATTATTGTAACTGCAAAATTGATCCTACTCGGACGGCTTCTCTTGTTCGTGTAATGTATCAATCGTAATTGCAATTATCTGTCGTTCCTTATATTTGTCGTCTGATTTCTTTTAGCGAAACTGCTGTTCCAATTTCCGCGGTTTTTAGTTGTTGCAAAAAATGCATTGTCATGCGTCATGCCACCTCAAATCGAAAAATTAAAAAAATAATTTCGATACTCCTGTTTAGCCTTCCTTTTTCGCGTATATTGCGTTCCATATTCGAATAAAACCATATCGCATTCTGGTCGAATGGCTCATTCTCGTAAGTATTCTGATAGCTTCTCGTAAATTTGGAAGCACAACTGTTTGCTTTATAGTCAATAAACTTAAGGGGAAGCTATAATTTAACTTTGATGAGGGGCGAGGCTATTTTAGGATAAAATACGTTTTTTTTCTGTAATTCTATTCATTCATTTTTTAAACACTGTTAGCCTTCGAAGAGTTGATAATTTTTTGGCCAATGTTTGTGAAGGTCTCTTATCGCCTCCATATTTATTATATGTTTGTGTTTCTACGCCGTATATGAAGGTAAGCTCAGCTTCGCGTCATTCGAAATGTATGTCGAGTGTGGCTGTTTTTTTTCTACAGAAAAAGTGCGCTTGGTACTCAATAGGGGTTTTCAATGGTTTCGATAGTTTTTCGAGAATATATCGATTGCATGTAGTTGGTTGTAAAAATTTAAACTCACCAACGAAATGTGATTTTCTTGATAGTTGTTATAGTCAGCAGGCCATAGTTGTAGCAGATCTTATTTTTAAACCCTGAAAAGAATAATTTTGCTTTTTTTCAGATAATCTGAAATGGTAAGGCGGAGTTTTTCATTTTGGCTATTTATTGTTTATGTTTTTATAGTTTCAGACTTGAAAGAAAACTTTTTTTAGTCTGCTGTTGATAAGATGGACTGTGCTCTTGATCTAATGCGTCGGCTGCCTCCGCAATATGTCGAACAAAATTTGAGTAAGGTCGTGGATCTGGTTCCTGAATTATGCGCAGATCTTTTGTCATCGGTAGACCAGCCTCTGAAAGTCGTCCGAGACGATGGCGTGGGCAAAGATTTCCTCGTGTGTGATTACAATCGTGACGGAGACTCTCACAGGGAAGTTCAGTTGTCCATCCTTTCATGTATTTGACAATACTATTATTGTAACCGCCGAAGTGAAGGCGAGTAGAAAATTTGCCACAATTGTATTCTTTTTTTCCAATTAAATCCCGTTTCTAAAAGTATGCAGAGTTTTGGGATGCTAAATTGATCTCACCGAAGAATTAGTAATTTAAAAGTTCAATGCAGGATAGATGTGAATTTTGTTTTATGTAGGGTAATGTTTTTAATCTTACATTGAGATTTGAGTTGTCGAATTATTCTTTTTAACGATAATTGCAATAATTGGGTCCAATTGTTGAATAAGTTGCCAATTTCCAGTTATTGTATTTCTTTTCGATTTTAGAACAATCTATACATCTATCTATCTGTCTATACATTATCTATCCATCTATAGTATTACACAAGCAAAGATTGTGTGGTAGTATGAACTCTCTCTTTTTTTCAACATTGTTTCAATATTGTTGCGACAAAATGTGTTCATTTTGATCAATAACTAGCTATTAAGTACAGTCAAGGCTGAGGATATTAACACGGGCTATTATATTACAAAAAGACATTTTGGCTTCCAGGTATCATGGATCTAAGCCTAGAGGTAGGGAAGGATACCCGAAACAAAATAAGAGGGTTCGAACGTGGGCACGGTCGGATGTTTTCAATGAACTTTTCGTATACTAGTTAAAATGCGTTCGCTCTATAAATTGAGGCATGTTAGTTGGTAAATTTCTTTTTTTTTTTTCAAATTGATTGGTACTGCTAATGCGTCATAATTGGCTTGCGTCACTTCGCAATTATGTAGACTCATAAGTGGTGTGCGTCACTCAAGAATTTAGCAGACTCAAAGGTTAACTCATTCTTTTTTCCCCAGTACCGTTATCGGTCATATTTTTGCTTGTGTGTGCGAAGTGCAACTTCGCCCCTGTGTTTATTTTGCGTTTTACTTGACACATGTTTAAGAAGTTTCTGCTGGTATGTTCAAGCTTTTTCAACCTGTTTTTTGTTGCATGTTTAACGCAAGAATTTATGCATCTTTACGCTGTATCGTATTTTGTAATGCTGAAGAACTTTTACTTGGCACATGATTAAGAAGTCGCTATGTTGGTCTGTTAAAAGTCTAAAACATTGTAAGGGTTGAAATGTTTACTCAAGTCGCATTTTGAAATCTGTTAAAACGCGAATGTTTTAAATCTACATTTTTCGTATATTCGCAACATATCAAAGTATCAAAAGCTTATCAAATTTTTTTTAAAACAATCTTTTTAACTAAAGATTAAGTTCTCAACTCTATAGAGGGGTACTTTCGAGATGTTTTAAATGGTTTTTTCATGTTTTAAATAAAGTTATTGATATAAAAAAAATAACCAAACTTGGAATTCTGAACCCTATAGTGGAGCGATGTCAGGGTACACTCAGGGTCTGCAAATTTGGCGTCTTAGTATGACTGCTCGAATCCTTCTCTTTATCGAGTTAAGGCGTTTCTTATGATTTTTTCACTTTATTTCAATAAACGTAGTTTTATGATTTTTTCACTTTATTTCAATAAACCTAGATTTAAAAAAAACTAATCGAAACTGAAATTCACAACCCTACACTTGGAAGCTTTCAGGGGTTGCAAGTTAGCCATCCAAAAGTAACGGCTGGAATCCTTTTTTAGTTTGAGATATTGCGTTTTAATGATTTTCTTGAATTTTCTTTTTAAAAAATGTTGGATATAAAAGTTCACCGAACCTATAGTGGAGTGGTGTCAGCGTACAGTCAATAGTTGATAATATGGCTTCCAATTATGACTGCTGAATTCCTTTAGGTTTTCGAGATATGGCGTTTTGTATAATTTTTTCATTTTTTTTCTCCAAAAAAACTGATTCAAAAAAAGCTACCCGAACCTGAAATTCGACATTTTTTAGTGGGGTGCTGTCATGGCGCAATCATGGATTGCCATTCTGGCGTTCAAGAGTGCCTGCTCAAGTCTTATTAATATAGGAGATATGGCGATTTTTATGATTATTTCATTTTTTTTTCCAAAAAAAGTTATATAAAACAACGAACAGAACTGAATTTTACTAACAGAACTTAAATTTCTCAACCCCAAGTCGGGGAATTGTCAGGTACACTTCGGCAATGCAAATCTGGCCTCTGAAATTAGCTGCAGAAATCCTTTTGGTTCCCGAGACGTGGCGATGTATGATAATTCAAAAAAACTTAATTAACAAAAAAAATTAATCCTTCTTGAAATTCTCAGCCCTACCCTAATGATTGAGTTCTATCAGGGTATATTCAGGGGGCACTGGCAGGGTACAAATCTGGCCTTTAAGTTTTACTGCTCAAAACTTTTTTTGTTTTCGGAAGCTCTTTTTACTTTTAACGACCTATTTGAAGCACCGTAGGTGCAAGTCCTGCGCTAGTTAATTGTTGCAGCGCCCTGCAAGACAACTTGTAGACTTCAGGCGCTGTCGAGTGATATTCGAGCCAAGAGTTTTCGTTATGTTCATAGATGTGATGGGCAACTTCGCCAATAAAGAAACTACATTGTTTCGAGTCTTTGCAAATGATCTGTCAGATGCAATTGAAGACGGGAAAGCCTATGAATATATAAAGTTGTGATTAATTCAGTGTATAATGAAGGAAAAGTAGCTTCTGACATTGAAAAACGGAGCTATGATAATGATTTGACGCTGAACTTGAGCAAAGCCAACATCCTCTGCATTAAAGGAGCGGAACCAGGAGATACCATTTGTCGATTAAAAAAGGGATTGCTGAAGGATGTCATCATGTCTAGAAACCTATCATGGAGTGAAAACTGCTGCAAACGAACTCTCAGCAGCTGGAGGTCTTTGTACTTGCTCATGAAAAACACATCAAAATGCACCATTTGCAACAAAACTAAACTTAACGCAGGATATGTGCGGCCAGTATTGACCTATGCCTCCCAGCCTCCCAGGTCTGGTACCCTAGAAAAACCAACAGCAAGAAAGTCGAAAAATTACAGAAAAGAGCTGCTTCATGGATGAGCAGTGACACAGCTGGGTATAAAGAAAGGGTGCTTGCTACAAAACTTATGGTTCTGTCGATGATATGGAAATACTTGATATCCTCATTTTTGTTTCTGTGCTTTATGGAAACTAGTTGGCCGATAACCTGCCTGAGATAAGCCGTGGAGGTTTTACCCGACAACAAATGTTGTTCCACGTCCGTTAGCGTCGTCTTCAGCGATGCGATGAAAATTCATGGATCCGAGCTCTCAAATTATTGAACATAGTACAAAGGAGCCTGCGCAATCATGAACAAGAAAAGATAAACCGACCTTTATCGGACCTTTTTTTTGTGAAACATTAATGAGAATGACTCGTGCACTGCAACTGTATGAGAAAACTCGTGCCGCTTGAAAACTGAGGGGTGAAAACCCTTAGGCTTACCCTAAAGTATATACTATTACTACTACTACTTGATTTTAGGAAAAAATTAACCTGTATTTATTTAAGCGGTCTGAATTAGCGTTCTGCCCCTTAAAAACGATAGAAGTTTAGAAATGTCGTCTGATCAATTTCTAACACTAACGTTTGTTTCAGATCGCCTTTTAGTAATTTATACTTCCCACCCCTAGATGACGGCATTGTTCCGTCAGACAAATTGCGAGAAGTTGAAACATTTGCCAATGAAGCCTTCGACAAGTACCGAGAACTGTAAGTTCCCTTTGAGCAATGATTTGAATTATATACAAGCTTTCGTTCACGGATTTTTCTTGTAGTTACTACGAAGGTGGCCTGTCTTCCGTTTACTTATGGGACATTGATCCTGGTTTCGCTGGTGCTATTTTGATGAAAAAATCTGTGAATGATCCGGAGGCTAAGGTCAAGGGATGTTGGGACTCCATCAATGTCATCGAAGTCGTACCCGAAATGGCTGGAAACAAAAGTGCCCATTACAAACTCACGACAACTATCATGCTTTGGCTTCAGGTTGATTGAATGAAAATAAATTTCAGACTTCTATATATCAACTGTTCTGATTAAAATCTATATTCGTTTTAGTCAGACGCAGATAAGTCGGGTAACATGAATTTGGGAGGAAGCATAACTAGACAGAGTGGTGGAGATAAAGAGTTAGTTGGGGATTTTGGACCAGCGCATGTGAAAAATATTGGCGAGTTGGTCGAGGAAATGGAGACGAAATGTAGATTGTCTCTCAATGATATCTACTTTGGCAAGACGAAAGACGTGACCAATATGGTTCGGTGAGTTGAGAATAATGTTCAATTGGGTTAGATACTTACATTAAGTTGCAGTGAAGGCTGAGTTGGTTTTAGAAAATGAAAATGGTGGTTTTTAATGCGCAATTTTTATTACTATTAATATTAAGAGCTTTATTATCAATAAGCTGATTAATATGTTAAAAATGAAATGAAAATTTCTAACGGAATAACAAAATTATGCAGTGTTGTAGTTTTCTCAAATTGGGAATGTTCATTAAAAATGTGTCAATCATAAAAGTAATAGAAGTTCACAGATCTTGAAAATTATAATTTGTTTTATCATTTTTAGGTCTCTTGACGTCATGGAAGTTTTTCGCAATGTTTGTTATTTATGTTTTTTACTGACATAATTGGATATAAAAGTGAAGGTATTGGAAAAATCTAACTTTGATGTGCTCATGCCTCATATTTTGGTGTTTAACATGTTGACCTTCCAACTTTGGTAAATTTTAGGTCAGTAGGCAGCTTGGTCGAAAAGAACAATCAAGACAAACTGCAAAACGATTTGATGCAACAACTTATGAATTCCAGGAACAAATAAAATTCCAGAAATCTTATCTCTGCCTGCCAAAAAGCAGATAGATATTCAGTTTAATCCAAATAAATCCAAATGTTTTATAATTGGCTGCTTATAATAATGTATTTACCAAATTTGAACTAAGTTCTGTTTGCGTCTATTTTCCTTCTGTTTTGATAAGTGTCTTAGGTTTTCGGATTTATTGATCACAAGATAATTGGTAAAATGAATTAGAATGTAATTATGGACACTGTTCATTGAATTTTTTGAATGTGTGAAGGATATTTATGATCTCTATCGGTCATCGTCTGAATTAAGTTGATTAATTATTAGTACATTTAGAATTTATACATTTCCAGTTTAATATTTTGTTGTTAATTCAAAGAGCGATTAGGTGAGGTGAGGTGCGGTCAATTCAGACGAATGTAATACTTCCAAATCGTGGATTTAACTCAGTTAAGAAGCTCCTGCTCGTCGATACGCAATACTTTAAAGTTGGTGTGAGGTAAACGAGCATCTACCGTAATAATAAATTTCTTCAGTGCATAAACGTACATATGCAGTTTTCGCACCAAAGAGGATAACCGACAGGCAAAGTATGCCTTTCTTTGGTTACCCTTTCTCAGGCAGGTAGCAAATGATCACATACTTCAGTAGCACGTGTATGGCGATAGACAAACTCCTAAATTTTTGTGTTCGTAATCAAAAACAATAGCTCAATTAGAAAAATAATTTCATTGATTATCAAACGTTACGATATTGTCTTTAAAACTAGCACAAAGTTTTGGATAGAAGCACTTGAGTCCAAATTAGAAGGGATTAAGTCCGACTTTTTCAGATGGTTATATAACATGGCTCCTCTAACTTTCAATGATTTTTGGCGAACTTCGTTTTGACTGGCTTTAAATATAACAGGTTCTGATCACTTGATCTGGTCTTACGGTTATTCGCGTTTTCAACAAAAAAGTTCAAACAAGCTTTTGGTATAATGTAAACTTAAGTGCATCATATATATGCAACTTATAGACATCTAAAACTTTGTCTTTGACGAAAAGTTGATCGCTAGGTTCTAATCTGCTTTTTTCAAATTAATGGATCTTAAAAACTTTTTTTTCAGTAGCTAGATTTTATTTAAAAGAGTTCTATTTGCGCAACCATAAACCATAATTTCAAATTGAGTTTTAGGTTTAGTATACGAGTCTTAATAACGCAGTAGCAGAGATCTGATTAAGAAGTATCTGAGTCTAAACGATAGCCCTAATAATTTGGACACAGATGAACAAACATAATTTATGTGAGAATTTAAAGAAAGTTAATCGTCATTATGTTAACCAAGATATTTAACACATTTTTGTAGTGCAATATTAACGTCGTCTGATAAGAAGTAAAAAGGTGGAGATGACTTTTTGAAAGTTATTAATTGGCATTTATTTATCTTAGTATTCAAAGACTTTTGAAAGACTTGCACATTTAAAGCATGTGGTTAATATAAATGAGAAAAAGTAATGGACCTAGAACTGAGCCTTGAGGGACCCCACATTTCACCGGTAAATTATCTGAGCTGACATTTTCCAGTGTTACCAACTGGAATCGGTCTGTTAAATAGTTTTTACGAGACTTGATGCCGGAACCCTTCCATAAGCGTCGAGTTTCCCAAGTAATATCGTATAAATAACAGTATCAAAAGCTTTTTTTCAATTCAATTTAAACTGCAATCAGTGTTCGTTTCTTAAATGTTTTTTTTTGTAACCAATTCAACGACGTCAACAATTGCATCAAATAATGAATGCTTTGGTCGAAACCCGGATTGATATTTAATCAGATTTTCCCCCCGTTTTCTTGTGTTCCTTGACTTTTTTCAACTGCCTGTTGACCTTGTTTTGAAGGCTAATTCTTACCTTTTCTTTTCTTAATTCTTTTTCAGAGCTACTTTTTTCAGTTTTATTGCTTGTGTTTGCGAAGTGCATCTTCTTCTCTGTGTTTAATGCAACAGCGAAGAAATATCTGGTGTTAAGCGAGGCTTCGTAACCTATTTTTAAGGTGTAAGTTTCCAATACATTCCTCAAGCAAGCTGAAATTTAAAAAAAATCAGTAATTGGGGATTTTTGTGCTGGCGATTTAACTTTTAACAATTTATTTTCCAAGCAGAGCTTTAGTCAGCCTTAAATGCGCAAGCTGAAAATAGTGAAGAATTTCACTCTTTTTTCAAAACTCAAAATTCACGCGCATGAGAGAATCTCCAAGAAAAACATTTGTCAGTTCTACCCAAATTTTTTTTCTATCAATTAAGTGTTAGCAATTAAAGTTTCATGAGACCGAGTCAGCTTCAGATATAACAAAAATGGAGCTTGTTGTATAAAATGAGGTCTAATTTTTTGATGTAAGTCACACATCAAGACAAGCCAATACAAGTGTTAAATTGCAAGATAGCGTTTTCCGATGTATAGCGTTTCAGCATTGGCTGTTAAATAGCCTGTGTTATAGCCGCTTTGTTCGTGGCTAGTTCTTGTATATAGCAAAGGATGATGGCGTGGTTGCCTTCGAATCCAGAGGTCGGACCTCGTTGTTTTTCATGATGCAAGAAATTAATTTTTCCCCAGGAAAACTTAATTTGCGGAGTTTCGGTTGTCTGCTTATTTTTGTCGGATTTTTTTCCCTAGCATGGAGATTTTTTCTTATTTGAGCAATTTCTTTCATAACTGACAGTCTTCTTGTTATTTCAAACTGTCAATGAACGTACGTGAAGACACTTATTTAGGTCTTGACTTGATTTCTCGCAAGTTGTCTTCGATTTTTTTCTAAGTTTGATTTATTTCCTTTGTTGAAAGTAAGGCAAACTTCACGATCGAATAGCAAAAGTGTAAAGGTCACCAAATACTTACACGACTTTCAATTTCGGAAGCGGATTATAATTTTAAGATTTACCACTGAAATACAAAAGTCTCTTTATCTAGGTTTTTCAATTTTGGTTAACTTTATTACACTTGCGAGAGCAAGTGTCTTGTTATCGGAAACTAGACCCCCCCGTAAACCACCTTTTTATGAATCCTAATTGTTATCGTACTAGCTTTACTATTGAACCTTATCTTCTTCGAGGTTCGTTCTTGTTTGTCCTAGAGGTAGCATGGTCGCATTTGCGCCCTAAGATCTGTGGTTCGAGTCCTGGCAGGATCTTTGTTTGTCGAATTGTAAACTTTCGTTTGGCTACTCGAGTTTCGTCGGCTTAGGTGCCACATCACAGTTTATTTTTGCGCTGTAGGTACTTTTCATTCCATTTGCAAGCTTTTTTTTTATAGTGGCAAGCGTTGTTTTTTGTAGTTTCAGCTGGGACCTGAAACTTTTTTTTACAAAATCATTTTTTTTCGACTTTTAACGTTTTTGTGTCGTATCGCAGCTGATGCGAAGCTCCGCGTCGCTATGGTTTATCGCAAAAGTCAATCATAAGTTGTTTTTGAAATTCAAAGCTTTAAGGGCATTGTTTATCGAAATTTGACGTTTTTTCAAAAGGCAGTTTTTTGTTGTAGACATTTTTTCCTGGTCAGTCATTTTTTGGTTTCTTTGCGTTCATTGACACTTTTCGAACTGCTTTGGCTATGCTGTCAATTCGCTAACACCACGGGTTTTGAATATAATTTCTTGTTTTTTAAAATATAGTTTCAGAAGTTTTTTTTAAAAACTATAAAAAATGGTTTCGGCTTTGTTTCATCGGTTCGGTCAATTTCTTTCGAAAAGTAACAATTGATTATTAATTTTTGAAAAAATTCAGGACTCTTGTGTTGAAAAAGTTTCTAGTTTTAAAGTTTAATCGTTTGATTTTTCATGATGACAACCATTTTTAGGGCATGTTTTTTTGCCTCAATGGGTGTCTACGTAAATATTTTCGGCGCAGTGACCGTCCGGTAAATCATACTAAAACTGATGTGAAGCTCGTGGTTGTGTTGTTCACTTTGCTTTTTGTTTTTAGTGCTATTTATTTTAAAAAACGGGTTGTAATAATTGTTCCTACAGAAGCGGCGACTCCTTGGGAAAATTGATTATCCTTGGGAAAATTGATTATCTCAAAATTAGTAGAGAAACAACTAAGGTTTTGGGCAAAGTCCAAATTTTGAAATCTCATTTTTCGTGCCGCATGAGTAGAAAAAATTCATTCAGTATCAACTACGTGCCTCGAGCTTTAGCTGGGCCCCTAGTTGCCTTTCTTAATCGAGAAATACGAAAATTTTGGTTCACCTAGTTTTTTTAACATTTTTTTGACTTTTCTATGTTTGTTGTGTATCGCAAGTGGTGCGAAGCTCCGCTTCGCCTCTGTGTAATACAGAACGGGCTATTGCAATTATTTCGGCCAATTAGGGATAACTCGATCCAAATGGTTTTCGTTCTAGTAAAGTGTAAGCGTTGACCTAATCAGGCTAAGAATTTTTTTTTTACAAATTCAGTGGAAGCAGGTTACCTGGCAGTATCGTTGTGCAATAGTTTCTGAAAAGAATTTCTGAAAAGAATATCGGTTCGAATTTAATTTTTTTTGCGCCTGCGATTAGCAATCTCTATTATATCGGACAGACTTTTCCAGGTAAGGAACTTGCCTTACAGAATCACTGAGTGATTTCCTCAAATCTGTCATTTCATCAACCAACAGACTTATTTTGAACATATAGCAATTTGATTAGCGGTTGTTCTAATTTTGCTCGTTCATTTATTAACGACTATAATAAGTATAATTTCTGTTTCTCTTATCGTTTTCTATTTGTCTGGCCAAAAAAAATCGGCTTATTTTATATGGGCTTAGTGAACTGATATTGCGTCGTTTGGTGAGCAAAAAAAATCCTTATTGTGATGATTTAGTGTGTTATTTGACTCTAGTGTGTTTTTCGTAGTGGCTTCATTTTGCGTCATTGGTGAGCGTAACAAGGTTTTTTATGCGTCTGTGTTTTGAGTGGGACATGTAAAGAATTTGTTCCGTCTCAATGGGTTTCTGCTCAAGTATGTTCGGCTTTTTCACCGCTTCGTTAGTTTTGTCCAATAGTATTTACTCTTACGACAAGCAAGGGTATTGCAAATGAGTACTGGGCTTTCCTCCTGCAAATAACTTTGTTCAACGCTCAAGCACGTGAAAATGTTATACATGTTTTACTTGCTTTATTACAACTTCAAATTCAAGGAGGTTTCTGAGCATTTGGCGCAGTGGTTACACCCATGTTTGAGGCGACAATGGTCGAGAGCTCGATTGAAGTCGGGAACAGCTTTCGGCTAATATAGACTGTCTGCTTAATTTAATCGGCTTAGTTCCCGTAGAAATGATTTTTTGTGAAGGTTTTGCTTTTTTCTAGCATTCCGAATTTTCCTTGTCAACTTCTAATGGTGCAG